TTGCAGTATCACAAAGGTCTTCTTTGGTTCCCCAGTGTCACAATGGACCACTGATGACATGAGGCCCTGCAATATCACAATGGACCTTTGGCTCCATGGGGCCTCAGGGTGTCACAATGGTCCCTTGGTTCCATGACACCCCAAATTGTCACAATGGTCTCCACTGCTCCATGAGGCCCGGCGGGGTCACAATGGACCCTTCGTTTGATGGGGCCTCTCAGTGTCACAATGATCCCTACACTCCATGGAGTCACACAGCTGGCATTCCACACATGGAATAGAGGTGTGTGGTTCCATGGAATGTAGGGATCATTGTGACACTGGCAGGGCGACCCTGGGGCACAGGGGACCCGACTGTGCACGAGCAGTGTTGGATTTCTCTGGGGTAAACTCTAAGGAGGAATTGGGGAGGATTGACCTCCTCAGTGACCTGACACAGCTCCTTGGATGTCACACAGCCTTCTCTTTGATGTCACACTGCCCCTGTGATGTCATACACGGCCTGTGATATCACACAGCTCCTGTGACGTCACACAGCTAACTCTATTATATTACCCTGTAATGTCATACAGCAGTGCTGTGATGTCATAAAAGACTGTGATGTCACAAAGTGACCCTGTGATGTCACAGTCTGTTCTGTGATGTCACAGCCTTCTCAATGATGTTACACAACCAGCTGCTGATGTCACAACCCTCTCTCTGATGCCACAGAGCCACACTCTATGATGGCAGAGACTGCTCTATGGCCTCACATCCTACTATGTGATGTCACAGCCAGCTCTGTGATGTCACAACTCCCTCAGTGATGTCACAAATCCCTCAAGAACTCAGTTACATTGAAACATTGAAGTCTCTTGTACTTTGAAGAGATTCCTGTCAGGGACATAATTGAGAAAGTGTCCGCAGGTTCCAGTTAGAGCAGAACACTGGAGGCAGTAATGACAGTCGGGGACAAGCAAGGCAAAGCTGTCTCTGGTGCTGAGCACACCTGGATGTGTGTCAGGAATGCAAAGGGCCAAGGCCTGAGCCCCAGCCCCTGGCCAGGCAGATCCTGTCCCTCCCTCCTTGCTCAGGGCTCTTCCCGGGCTGGGCACTGGCATGTGGGGATGTGCAATGGCAAGGGCAGGAGCATGGGGTGGCCCCTGCCAGGCTGCTGAGCAGGGACAAGGAGGCAATGAGGCCCCAGGCCTGCAAGGGTCACTTGTCCCCTCGTGGCCTCAGGCCCAGGCCCAGCAGCCATGGCCAAAGTGCTGCCCAAGTTGGCTCTGGCAGGGCTGTCTTGCAGCTGCTGCCCATGCCTGTGCCCTGTGCATCCCAGGCTGTCCCACGGTGTCCCTGCCCTGCGCCTCTGTCCCTGCAGGCTGTTGGCATCCCCCGGCTGCCCCACCTGGCTGGCCCCTTCCTTTGCTGACAGCTCTGCCTCCTGCCTGCCTCTCCCTGCCCACACAAAGCCTTGGGCTTGATATCTAAAGGGTTAATTGAAATTTTACTGTGCCTGTGAACTTTTAGCAGAGAAACCAGGCATGCAGGGGCTGCTTTCCCAGCAGGAATGGTTGGAAGAGAAGATGAAGACATCTGGTTTGAGAATGCAGGGATAGAAAAAGCAAGAACTGAATCTGGGAACTTGAGGTGGTGTCGTGGTTTGACCGGAAATGGGACATCTGGGATATGTTGTTTTGCTGTGGTTACCAATGGGTGGTCGCATTTTAAGATGGGCACCTAGTTTGACCACTGGGGCATTTGGATCCGCCTCTTGAGACTACGAACCCAAGGGGTTAAAAGCAGGGCTCTTGTCCTTCAGAGCCCTCTTGGGATTTCCAGCGTGAAGAAGTCTCTCCCCCGGCCCAGTTGCTGGCTGGGCTGGGGGAGGGGAAAGCCACGTGGCCCATCTACGGTAGGCCCGGGTTCGGAGGAAGGGTGGCGGACCCTTGAGCGACCTGTTTATCCCCCCCCCCCCCCCCATTTGGGATGGAGAGAATGCAGCCCGTGCTCGAACTGTATATCTTGAAACTTGATATCATGTGCCGGCAGGCAGCACGGCTGGGAGGAGAAAGGGGGGGGCAGCGGGCAGTCCGGCCGCCTGGGAGAGCTTTTAACCCTTGTGGAGAATGAAGGCTTCGCAGAACATTGCCTTTCCTGGGAAAGGGATAGGAGTGGAAGATGAAGGAAGAAACCAGGCCAGTAAGGGGGGTCTGGCAAAGGGAGAAGAGAGATGTTGAAGGAATGGAGGAAGATGGAGTGGCAGTTTTTGCTGGACTCTTTTTTGTTGTATATCCATGGACTCTTTCCTGGTGATGCAGAGGCTGTATTGCAGGGGGAAGCGGAGGCTCGGCGTCAAGAGAGTTTGGTTTTGAGACCTCTCGGCCCCAGGGGGTATAGAAGACATGGGGGGGACAAAGGTCCCAGCGATGTGACTGTGCTCTGCTTGGAACGAGACGAGGCATTCTTAAAAGGCCGTGAAGGCAGGCCCCTGCCCCATCCCATGCCTGGTGGTGAGAGCACCTTGGCATGGAAAGGAGATGTCACGTGATAGCAAGATACCGGGCAGATTGCTGATTGTGACAAGAAGTCCGTGGCACAAGGAAGGACTCCGTCTATCCCTTATGAGCTGAAGATTTGATTTTTTTTTCTAAAGGGTGGTGCCAGACCGAGTGTGGATAATTTTTTGGAAATGTAAATGTGTTTGGGAATTTGGTGGGAGGAGGATAAGGAAGTGTTTCTGTGTAGTTTTCATTCTCTTTGTGTGTGTAGTCTAGTAATTGTGTGTGTAGTTTAGTCAATAAACTTCTCTTTATGTTTAAGTTGGAGCCTGCTTTGCTTGTTTCCTGGCCACATCTCACAGCAGATATCAGGTAAAAGGTATATTTATGGGGGCTCTGGCTTTGTCAGGCCTAAACCATAACAGGTGGGTTTTATGGAAATGGTTAAATTTTAATATACATATAGTGACTGTATATAAGCGATAGACTGGTAGAATGACATGTCCACATAAGGAATTATCACCCACTGCACCTCAGGCCTGAATTAATGCTGCTCTCTAAAACACCAAATTAGTATTAAGGAGTCTTATTCTGATATTTTGGACATTTGGTGACAACAGAGTGATGCCGAATTTTGCCCCAAAAGGCGAGAGTAACTGCCTAAGAGACTCAATTTAAGTCAGCATAGACAGGAGGTATTTTATTACGACGCGTCGGAGAAATCACAAAAGGGATTTCTGAGTATCTCGTAACCGAAGTAAGCCTTTTATACAGTTTTGATTATGAAGTTACATCATATCACATGCATAATCATGTTTTTGCATACATATTCATAAGAGGCGTGGTGTAGGCGGAGCGTGGGCGGAAACATCTCTTTTGAGGATCATTTCGGTGGTCGTTCCGGTTGCCTTCATCATGGGCAGGGGTCACCTGATGAGTCTTCCTCCTTAAACTTTTGAACTCCTATCCAAATATGGCCAATTCCCGGTGTACTTGGCTTGGTCCCATGGCTTGGCAAGGTTATTAGGGTTAGTTGGCTCTGAACACGCTTAGCCCATCAGTTCTCCTATCCCTATCTCTCTTTCCTGTCATGGTGTTCCATGCCTTAGCCGATTTATTGTCCTAAGTGCTAAGCTTTCTTCAAATGTTTCACATTCTGTGTTTTAACTCATTATTTCTTGAAGGCTACCCGTTTAGGGGCTTCAAGAGGCTCACGAACCCAAGGAGCCAGCTGTGACACTGGGTCCATTGTGATGCTATGGAACCCCATGGAACCAAAAGTCCATTGTATCAGAGCAAGGCCTCATGGGACCAAGGAGACCATTTCTGACAGTGTGGAAGCTCACAGAGCCATGGGGTCATTGTGACAGTGTGGGGCTGCATGGAACCAATGGTCCATTGTGACACTGCAGAACCTTCTGGAATGAAGGGGGGTCATGTTATGCTATGGAATCTCATGGAACAAAGGATCCATGGTGACACTGCAGTGCTCAGACCATTGTTGACAGTGTGAAAGCTCCTGGAACCAAAAGTCCATTGTGACACAGCAAGGCCTCCTGGAACCAAGGGTCCCTTGTGGCTCTGTGGGGCTTCCCATAACCAAGGAGAACATTTGGACACTGTGGGGCCTCATGGAACCACCTGCCACTGTGACACAGCAGGGCCACATGGAGCCAAGGGGCCCACTGAGATACTGAGGAACCTCATGGAATCAAAGGTCCATTGTTCCACTGTGGGGCCCTGTGGAACCAATGGGACCATGGTGACACCATGGTGCTCCATGGAACCAAGGGGCCATTCTGATTCTGCTTTGCCTCATGTAGCCACGGGGCCACCATGACACTGCAGGGCCTCGTGAAACTACAGCAGCCTTGTGACACTGGGAGTCCATTGGGAGATTGCAGGGCCTCATGGAACCATGGAGACCATTATGACCCTTCAGAACCCATTGGAACCAAGGGGTCATTTGCAGATTGCAGGGCCTCATGGAAGCAAGGGGGGACAGCTGTGATGGGACGGGGCCCAATGGAAGCAAAGGGCCAGTGTTGCAGAGCTGTGCCTCATGCAGGCAAGGAGCCACTGGGATCCTGAGGAGCCTGAAAGAACCACAGGGCCAGGGTGACACTCTGTAACCTCATGGAAGCAAGGGGGCCATTTTGTCATTGTGCAGCTCCATGGAATCAAGGAGGCCACTGTGCCACAGCAAGGTCTCATGGGAAGCAAGGGACCATTGTGACACTATGGAGCCCCTTGGAAATAAGGGGCCAACATGACATCAGCATTGTGACACTGAGGGGCCCCATGGATCCAAGGGAACAGGTATCGGGTCTGGTTGGCTTGGCCTGACCAGCTCAACTGATCTTGGGATGTTGAGAGTCTGTTCTGATGTGCCCCTGAAACCCTGGGGCTCTGTGCTTTTCCTTCCTGTGGAAAAGAACCATCCCTCCTTCCCAGGCACACCTTGTGGGACAACAGGACTCCTGCACAACTAACCAATATTATTAAGCAGAAGCCATTTATTGTTTATATTATGCACTTATTTATACATTCTAACCCTACTGCACACGCTGATCACGCTCTTCTTCATTGGTGCCTCTGTGTTGTCCTTGTGTTCTGCACTCACTTCGCAGGGTATGTGATTCGTTACAGTGCAGGTGGTTCTCAGCCCTCTGTTATCTAGTTCTTGCGGTCTCGGTATTCTGTTTCTCAGTCTTTTCTTTCTTCATTTAGCACAGTTTATGTCTTAGTAACCTTGATGAATTCCAGAGGGCTCTGATAAGAATAACTACAAGTGGTATGGCTGGTGCACAATGTGGCCTAAGTTGTTCAGATACATTGCTACAATTCCCCCTGTTTCTTCTTGCACCAGCCAAACCCTTTTCACTGTATTTTCTACCAAGCGGGTCACCAATTTCATTAGGCATGGAATAATACAAAGCAATGTAATAATGACTACTAATAATTACAAAGCTCCCTTTATATTGTCTTTCAACCACCCAGGTATTCCCCATCCCTCAAACCATTCATCCAGTCCCAAATCATTCACTGTCAATTTCTTCACATTGTCTTGTAGTTGGGTTTCCTGTGAATGGTTGCAGACTGGTCAGAGGGATTCATACAACACATTCCTTAAAAATCCTCACACCTGTGCACATGTACTAACAGTAAAAAAATCTATAGCAACGCTGTTTTGCAGTATGCCATGTCTAATACTATCTGCATGAGTGAGCATTTGATTTAAAATAGCTGAAGTTGTGTTCAGTTGTTTGATTGTCCAGCATCCCAAGACGTAATGCGTAGCCAAAGCTGGAGCAGCGGCAACACCTGGAGTAAGGAATGATGCTGTTATTTGTGCTGGAGCACCCCAAAACTCTACATGATTGTCACAATCAGGTCCTAAGCTTGTGATTGCTCTTTTAGACTTCTTGCTATGTCCTGCTTTCCAAACAGTCTGATTCAGCATTTTGCACATGCTAGAGGCAAACATGGTTGGCTTTCCTAAATAACAAGGACCACCAAACAGATTGCTCGGAATTGCAGGCCATGCCCTATCCCCACAGATTAAAAAGACACATAGTGGAAGCTTTTGTACAGTCACATTTGCACCAGCACTTCCAGGATAAGTCCAGTTGTGGCAATATTTGGTCACATTCTTATACCATGGAGGATTGGGATTAAGGATGACACTTTTATTTTTGGGACATGGGACTAGGACATTGCTCATATCAGTTGATTTCAGGTTTAAAAAGTAGTTAAAAAACAAGCAATAATTCCCAGGTACCAATCCTAGCAAGTCTAGTTCTTGGGGCAGTAGTCTGCTTTCATTCAGTGATTGTGTTATCATACCTGCTTGGAAGCCCTCACTGTTTGGCCTAATTCCCAACCTTTTGCATATGTCCAATTTTGTACAACCTCTGATTGTGTTACACCAGTGATTCTCCACACTTGATCTATTTCCTCCCTCGTATCCCTTTCCTCTAGCTCCTACCCATCTTGTAAACCCAGTAAAATTACTTTTTAGAATACCAAATAAACTTGTACAGAAGGGATCTCATGGCATGGCTAAGGACAAACGAAAGGAGTCCACCCCAGTAGCATTGGCCCAAGGAAGCCACATATTCTGTCGATGCCATCCAGGCAGGTTAATTTCTTCTGCACTATGGATGTTGCCACGTATCACAAGTAACAGAGGGAGACTCCCAAAAACCTGCAAATCTAATTTAAGACTATTCTTCATCTTTATCATTGGCAAAAACCACTTCCTCTATGAGATGGATAAAATTCAAACTGACTGTGCCTCTTGTTCTTTGCACTCTTCTCCTATTCTGTCTCCTTTGGTTCTTCTCTCCCCACCTTTGCTTTGTTTGTTCTCACTGCTCAGATCTAAGTCCCCAAGTCCCAGAGATAAGTATTCCTTTTTCACATTCAATAGCCTTGATCTTATTCTCTCTCTTTTTGCTCGAGCTTCCAGAGTTCGTTATGATACCACTGAATAGCCTGCCCCAACTGCTCCTGAGACTCAAACAAATTCAGCACTTCTTGACAGATTTCAGGTGATTTAACCTTTGTTCCTGTCTCTTGGGATAAAACCAGCCAGGTATTGAATACTTGGGTGTGCCGATGTCTGCACTCTATACACCTTGGGAAGCTCCGTCCTCTAAACTCATACCACCCATCTGATCCACACCCCACAATTCCAATCTCATCCAAGGATAGCAAAAGCGTTCACAGTTGTTTTCAGGTAATGCTGGTTGTTTCATTGGTGATATCAGGGGTCAGAGTGTCCTTCTCAAGCCAGGGATGAACTCATTTCACTGGTATCCATCAGGGTCCTTTGTAATGATACAAGCATAATCTCTTCCTGCTGCAAACCTGAGTGATGTGTTAATGCTGGTGGGTCACTACCAGTACCTACTAGCCATAGAGGATTCATTACATAAACTGCTTTCAGCACTCTGTCCTGTGGGCTCAGCCCATCCTCCCCAAGTTTTTGTTTATCAAGCAGTCCTTTCAGTACCTGATGTGTTCTTTCAACAGTACCTTGTCCTGTGGAGTTACCTGGAATACCTGTGCTCTGCTTCCCTCCCCAACGAGCCAAGAAATCTTGGGTCTGTTGGGCTGTATATCCTGACCCATTGTCTGTCCTGAGGTGAGCCCATGATGGCAAAGCAGCCTTGCAACTGTCGAATGACAAAATGAGATCCTTTGCTTGTCATAGGAGTGGCTCAAACCATGGCAGAAAAGGTATCTATAATTACATTAATGCATTTAAAGCGACCAAAAGAGGTGCAGATGGTCACATCAGATTGCTGTAACTGCAGGGGCCCCAGGCTGTGAGGGATGACCCAGGACCCATTCCAAAAATCATACCCTGGCATTGCAGACAGGTTGTGACAATTCCTTGAGCATCCTGCAGTGATATTCAAAATTGTTTGGGTAAAACTTTTTGCACTTTGGTGAAAAAACTCGTGAGCCCTTTGGGCCTGGCCCAACTTATCAATAATAGGAGAAATAGAGGCCCAAAGTGGTGCCACCAGTTGGTCAGCCCTCTCATTTCCTAAGGGCAGGCCTCCTGTCAATTCAGAGTGACTCCAGATATGGAATGACAGATTTAGCTGGGAGTGTGTATTCTATCTGTTAGAGGTGGGGCAGTTATCTTCTGTTAATTGGGCAGTTTTCTTTATCTCTTCCACAAACTGATACTCCCTCTGGGAAATATCTTCTGTTAATGGGCCATTAAGTGTCACTGCATGGCTGATAAAATTACAGCACCCAATTGTGAGATGCTCCACCCAGGGGGAGGAGCCAATCATTCCTACCTGGATATAATTAGAGATTTTAGGACACCAGAGCAGCCTTTTCCCACTGAATTTGCAGAGCAGCAGCTTTCTTCTCCACTGGATTCCCAGAGGAATACCAGGCCTATCTACACCACCACTGGACTCTCAGAAGAAAACCCCACCCTTCTACAGGATCACTGCTCCAACAGAATCACACCTGTCACTGCAGGAGGGCTGCAGCCACCATTTAATGGGACTGCTGCCAATACCCTGACCCACAGGGTGTCAGGTCGTATTCTGACTCTCTCAGTGGTCTGTTTTCTGGGTTTTTTTTGTACTACTATGTTTGTATTTTTTAAAAAACTTTCCTAGTAAAGAACTGTTATTCCTATTCCCATAGCTTTGCCTGAGAGCCTTTTAATTTAAAAATTGTAATAATTCAGAGGCAGGGGGGTTACACTTTCCATTTCAAAGAAGGCCCCTGCCTTCATTAAGCAGAGAGCTGTCTTTCCAAACCAAGACAGATTTTTGCACCCAGTGTTCGGCCCAGGGGCATTGATAGAAAAAGGGTTTAAAAGGAATAATAGTTCTTGAGTAATCTAATTTTTGTGTGCTGATATTGAAACCTCATTAAGTGTCACCATGTGGTGTAACCATGGTTTGGGTGGCACGAGGTTGTGGCTATATTTCTAACCATTTGTAGGCCCGTATCTAAACATGGGTCCTATAACTAAGGCCAATGTGACTGTTACCCAGTTTGCTTTATGGCTTAATAATGTAAGGAATTCATGGATTTTTAACTTCCTCTGGAAGGCAGGCATATGGACTCAGAGCTATCACACACTAACTGAGTGGTTTTGGGCTTACTTTAATAATGGTACTTACTGTGAGGAATTGACACTGGTGGAAATTTTCTCCCAACCCTTCCCCCAGCTCTTTGGGCCTGCCCCACCAGTTCTCAAAGGGTTCAGATCCACTCTAAATGCTAATGATATCCTACAGTGGTTGGTGTTGCTGATAGGCCTGTTCTATTTAGCATTGAGAGATAAGGGAAGATTGACCTGGATAACCACACTGACACCTACCCCAATGACAAGGGATGCTGGTGCCCCAGAGCCTGACCCTGCCCCACAGCCCACCTCAGAAATAAACCACCCAGACTGGGTGGGGGTTCTGGTGAAGGAGATGGGCCAGATGCTGAAGGAGTGCATCTCCCCAGATGGTGAGAAACCCTCCCCCTGCCTCAAAGAGGGAGAGTCTGATGGTGCAGCAGTGGAACCCACAGATGTTACAACCGTCCAGGTTCTAGCTGAACTGCAAGGGCAGTCACAGCTAGCAGCAGTGACCCCTGTGGAAACAAGGAGGTCCAAGATGAAATCAGAGCACCCAGACAAGGATAAGAAAGGAGGGCCCTCACAACCCACAGGGGAGCCAATGGTTGGGATCATCACCACGTCCCTGATGTACGAAAGTCTCTGTAATCTGCACAAAGACATTGTACGACGGGGACGTGAGGCTTGTACAACCTGGTTACTCCGGGTCTGGGACCTCATGGGTACAGGCATGCAGCTGAATGGTGGTGAGGCAAGGAATTTGGGACCCTTGACCCAGGACTCAGGTATGAATCAGATTTTTGTAAAGGGAACCTGGGTCCCTTTCTCTCTGGGAGCAGCTGTTAATGAGTGTCAGAGAGAGGTTTGTCCCCAGGGAGAGAATGCAGGAGCACCACTATAGAATGTGCTAGAAGACCCTCGAGGAAGGAATCAAACAGCTGGGACAAGTGGCAGTATTGGACTTTTTGGGAGGGATGGACAGCATGATAATGACCCCGACAAGGTCAGGTGCACAGGGCAAATGCTGTGGAGTCTGGCAAATCTGGGGCCAGATCAAGACACCACCTTTATTGCAATAATTAATGCCCATAATAACCAAAAGACAGTGGGTTCTGACACCAACAAGCTTAGAAACTCTGAGAGTGTGATCAATGACTCCAAGCAGGATCATGTCTCTGCCGTTATTAAGGACCGCAGAGAGAAGATGAGGGAGATGAGGGAGGAGGTGAGGAGGAACAGTTCCCATATGGCACCAGTGCAAATCACAGGCCCCAGTCACAGCCAAACATCCCCTAGCCAGAGAGAGAGTACACCCCACGGGCTGACCTGTGGTTCTTCCTTCGTGACCATGGGGAAGACATGGGAATGTGGGATGGGAAACCCACTTCTGTCCTGGCAGCACAGGTGCATCAACTCAAGGAGGGAAACACCAACCAAGAGAGTTCCACTAAAGTGAAGGTAGCCTCAGCCTCCTGTGACCAAGCTACCACATATAATCTGTCAGATCCCCTTGAAGGAACCTCTAGTATGTATGCCCAGGAAAGAAATGATAACCAGGGCTAAGGGGGGCACTGACTCTAGCCAGGAAGAGGCACAGCAAAAATGGATCTTCTGGATTGTGTGGACCCGATGGCCTGGCACATCAGAGCCACAAAAATATGACGCCTTATTTGATACTTGTGGCATTCACATTTTCTGAAAAATTCCTTTG